TAATCTCTAATAAAGAGAGTGTTTAATATGAAATCCGAGCGAGAATAAATAGTAAATTTAATGAAACCTTTGAATTAAATGAGTAAGTAAATTAAAACTAAATAAATTTTATTAACATTATTAAATTAAAATCTTTTTTAAAACAAACTATAGCGATAATCAAGGATCTAATGATTAAATGAATACCAAGAAGCAATTGGTTTAAGTAGAACAAATCAATAAACAGCTACCATCGTCGAAAACTGATTGCAATACTAAAGCCTGCAGTTGTCAAAAACCAATTTACTATGCACAAGAAAATATAGATGCGAATTATGAAATAAATGCAAATTGTTAATTCTTTCTATTTTTTTATTTTTTTTTGCTCTTTGCTTGAAATTCATAGCAGAATTTATGTGTAGGATTGTTAGATTTTTAATTCTTTTTTCATTCTTTAATTGAAATTCATAAATCTTATGTTGTTAATTTTTCTTTTTTATTTGCTATTTTTTTGTTCTTTGCTTGAAATAATGTAATTATAAAATTGATCATTCTTCTTTTCTATTATTTTTTCATTCGTTACTTGAAATTCATGTAACCAATGTGTAAAATTAATGTGTAAATTTAAAATTTTTACATTTTGCAAAGTCATACCAATTGAAAAATAATGTTATATTTAATTTACGAATAATATCTGTCAATTTCAAAACAGCAAAAATCGAAAAATGACGCGGGACATATTGTATATATTTGAAAAAGTTTTATTGAAAAGTTTTATTAAATATATTTAATCCGTTGAAATTTTTTTTCAAAAAAAACCTAAATAATAAAATCTATTTGTCAAATCATTTTTTCAACAAAAAAATTAATGGATTACCGAGTATAAGGAGACGTGCGTTATTTTTTTAAATAAAAGTATAAGTGAAGTAATTACTGTAACATAAATTGAGAAAAGTTTGCTAAACTTCCGTGGCGAAGTCACACATTGCCGCAAATATTTTTAAATATTTACTAACAGATTATGGCTTAGTTAGAATCAAAATTTCAGTTACGATTAAAAGTTTTGTATTAAATTTATCCTTTTTTTCGTCATAAATATAATTTAAATTTTTCATTATTCTTATCAAAAATTTGTCAAAGATAATTGGAAATGACATCTAAACCACATAATTTTCATGTAAAAATTCCAATTGAGGAGGCAAATAAAAAAATTTCGAAAATTGCCTGCTCTCCTAACATGAAACACGTTGCTGCATTGCACGAAGATAACTATGTTAGCCTTTGGTCTATTGATAGTCAACGGAATCATTTAGAGAATGAAAAAACAATCAAAATTTACACAAAAGCAATTGGTGAAAGAATATTTGCAATTTCTGATTATAAACATGTTGCAATAAGTCTTGATAGAAACAAACCCTATAATTTCAGTAAGTTATACATCGATTTAATGTTATTGTTATTCAATAAATTTAATCATATTTATCGAATTTTACATATTTTTCAAGAAATTTTCGATTTTAAAAAGGAAAAGGAAGTATTATTAAAATTTCCAGATTGGCAAAAGGAAATTGACTTCTTATCCTTTATTGATAACGGAAATATTATAATGGTCAATACTAAATATTGCAGAGCATATGTTTTTTCAAACCAAGATAATATAACCTGGGCTTGTAAATTATGTAAATCAATGATTGAGCTGAAATATTTTAGAAAAATTTTTATTACTATTAAAGGCAAACTGATCATATTTAATGA